GAGGAAACGATTTCGCACGATGATACTGTGTACGATTTGAGCTCAAGTTGGATGAGTTACGCGTAGTAAATCGTAGGTATTATAAGGCTAGTAAATGACGAATTTCCCTTGTTTATTGATGTCACACTCCTTCCCTATTATCTACTCCTGATATAAATATATATATAGTTATATATAGCTGTCATAAGTCTATGATGTCATTTGAGTTTTGCACGACACCTATCTGCAGAAGTTGGGATATTTTTGACTCGTGATGTCCTAACAGCGTCCCAATATCAACTATAGAATACAATAATATGACGCTCCTGATAACAAACATGATGTTTATAACGACGTGCCCCTGGCAACTGAGAAATCTTTGCGTTACCGTGGCAACAAGACAAACTAATTGTGCTAATCCGACGTGCGTGGCTGTTAAGTTATATCTGCTTTCTTACCGTCGCATAAACACGCTATTTTGATAGAATCAGGAGAAAATACTCACAAATTTGTGATTATTTACTCCTGATAGAATGGTGCTGCAGTTTTTCTTTTGCCCCTTGTTTCATCGGTGCATGTTTATTCGAGCAGGTCGTGAATTTTGTAAATATTAAGTATTATTGGTTACGTGTTTAGCTTTTTTTGTTTAAAGAAGCAGGATGGTTGTGTTTAGCTTGGTTAGATTTAGTGAAGCTGGGTTTACACTACCGACTTTATGTTGTCAAATTGACGAGCTGGACTAATTTCCCAACTTCCCAACTCCAAGTTGGCAAAAATAGAACATGTTCTAATCTCCCAACTAGGTGCTATTAACCAGTTGCTCGTGCGACTTTTACGTTTCCACTGCCGATTGACGGATGTATAATTGCGAAATTGGTCCAATTCGCCAATTTGAGAACATAAAGTCGGTAGTGTAAATCCAGCTTAAATGTGTGTGTGTGTGTGTGTGCGTTTGTCACATTTTGGGCAGAATTTTATTGCGTGGATGAGGGGCGAAAGTTGGAAATTCTGAAAACGTGAATTTCGGAAAGGTGGAGGAAATTCGGAAAGGTGAAGGACAAATTTAAAGTCAAGTGAAAAGGTTTGAATCTCTTAACTTGCCATTAGGTGAGGAATTTAGTGAGAGACGATAGATAGATAGTCCGCATCACAACTCGTCTGTGCGTGACCATCATCAGTATTATTATTATTTATATTATCATCGTCATCATCGTCGTCGTCGTTATCATCATCGTCACCCTCTCACCGTTGAGTAATTGTCAAGAGTGACAGATCGCCGTAACCATATAGAGATCGTCATTGTCTTGCACTTATGTTACTACATTGAGACGCCCTTGTAACACAATTCCCAGTTTGTGTTCTATCAACAACATGCTCAGCGAGTGATAGCTTATATCTAAATTAATACATGCTTGTGAAGTAACACATGCTTGTGAAGTAATACATGCTTGTGAAGTAATACATGCTTGTGAAGTAATACATGCTTGTGAAGTAATACATGCTTGTGAAGTAATACATGCTTGTGAAGTACTACATGCTTGTGAAGTACTACATGCTTGTGAAGTAATACATGCTTGTGAAGTAATACATGCTTGTGAAGTAATACATGCTTGTGACGTAATACATGCTTGTGAAGTAATACATGCTTGTGAAGTAATACATGCTTGTGAAGTAATACATGCTTATTCATCATCAGGTTCTCTTGATAAAAGTACGTTTAAGCAGAGATATCTCAGCCCGAATAACGGCTATAAAAGCTATACTACGTACCTGGAAACAATATGTATACATGTATACATACAATGTATATATTGTTCTCAGCTATGTACCAAATCATTGTGTACAAATGACAAATCATTTTGTCGTTATTCGCCCCTTTATGTACGTCATAAAAGCTATACTATGTATACATACAATGTATATATTGTTCTCAGCTATGTACCAAATCATTGAGTACAAATGGAAAAATAATTTTGTCGTTATTCACCCTTCAATGTACTTCATAAAAGCTATACTATGTAGCCTACGTAAGTTGGCATTGTATTGCAATGATGTTGGTTCTAAACATAGATATATACAAACGTGTGTTTGTATATGTTTATGCTATAACGGCGTCGCAACGCTGTTGATTATAACGTAAACGCACACAGTCAATAGTATATATACAGCGTATATGTCTATACAATCTATACAG